CTCATCCCAGGATTCTGGGGGAGGTGGGTGCCTTCGTGTTCATCCCCCAAAACAAAGTTCATGAGCAGAAGCAGTCTGCCATCGTGTATGTGTGCAAACCCAGCTGTTCCTGAGCAGAGGCGTTACTGTGATACAAGTGTTGGTGGAGGTGGGGGTGCTGGTGGGGGCGTAACCTGGTACAGGCACTGGGAAATCAGTGCGGAGACGCCTCAAAAACCATAATGACAAGTGCCGTTTGACCCAGCTGTCCCCCTTCTAGGTGTAAGACACTGTGTCACAGTGATCCTTGCACACTCGTGTGGACAGCAGTGCAGCTCCTGAGCTATTGGTTCATCACTGGGTGAGTGGGTAAAGGAGTGTGGCATTGCACACCACAGAGCACCACTCATCAGGCAGGGTACACTTAAGTCATCTGTAGGAGGAAGGGTGCCCCTCAAGGATGTAACGCTCAGTGAGACACCAGACACACGGGCTTCAGTACTGCGTGGTTTCTCTCCTGTGAGAAACCCAGAGTATAAACTATATAAAGGGCAAAACAAAAGACAGATACTAGGAAACAGGGAGAGAGAATTTTGCAAATGGGAAGGAGCCCCAGGGATGGGGGAGAGGAAGAGGGCAGGAGACGGGGTCAGGATGTGTTAGGTACATGCCCAACCCTGTGGGGAGGGGAACCATCATCGACTGCAAACTGCACTTGTAAAATCTTTTTAGAACACACACATGCCAGGCAGACACCATGCAGCCCCGTGGCAGCACACAACGGACCTGAGCTGCAGATGCCCACTCTGGTTCACCACCAGCTGGACAAGGACAGGTTACACCGGGTTGCAGGCAGCAGGCATTCGGTGTGCACAGCACAGGGAAAACACGGAAATGCAAGCCCCCTGGCTGTGCGGTTCTGATCTGTGAACTCACCTGCATGAACTACACATCAAATAAAGGAGGCAGGAGGAACCACGTCCACTGTCACAACCCCTGGACAGGGGATGGTGGTGTGCATCTTTCTGTGGTCTTCCTATTTTACAGTTTCTATTGTGACCACAGTGGTGCTAACACAGACAGAATACATTTCGGGACAGCCAGTCTGCGAGCAGAAATCTGTGGTTCACGGTGTCCCCGCTCCTCATCTGGCCCTTGGGCCGGCCAGCGTTGAGGCGTCTGCTCCCTTTCCAGGGCTGCCCTGGGGAGTCTGGGCTCTGTGGGGTGTAGAGGCCCCTGCACATGGGTGACCCCATCAGTGGCAGTGCGTGTGCCTTTGTTCTATGCCCGGAGAGGGTTTTTTCTTCCTGCCTAACAAGCGAGGACCCAGAGGTTCAGCCAGGCCAAGTGGCCGCCCAGGGACACACAGCTCATAGGCACAGAGCTAGGACTGAGCTCCTCCGGCCAGCGCTCGCCCCAGGGGTCAGGGAGTTCTCATTTGCTGCTTACTCAGGTGGGGCCTCGCCAGGCAGCATCCTCCTGCCATGCCCTTGAGACTCACAGACATTTCCCATCAGCTGAGTGCCCGCTGTGTGAAGTGGCCTGGCCATGCTTGGTGTGTTCCAGCTCAGGCACCGACCCGAGCCTTGAGTTTTGAGGGTCAGTATTGGGTGTTCGGGGTGAAGGGTGAGTAAAAATGCAGGGTGCTGAGCTCACAAGAGCTGTAGGGGCTGGAAAACCCCTGGGATTAACGGAGACACCAAGATGGAGACATGGCCGGGGTTGTCCCAAGCCAGCCCTTCCTCTGCGAGGCCTCTGAGTGTCCACTCAGCTCTGGCCAAGAGTCACCCTCCCTGTGAATTCGTGGTAGCAGAGGCGGGAGCCGCCACACCTGGGAATTGCCTGTCCCTGCCTGCGAGGGCCTTCAGTGCAGGGGCAGGGCAGGTTGAGGGGGTGGGCGGAGAAGCAGCCTGGGTTGGGTCCCTTGGCAATGACGCCAAAGAACCCGGAATGAAAGAAGAAAGAGAATTGGGCCTCGGCGGATTCGAGACTGCTGTGCTGCCAACCACACTGTGGGGAAAGAGGAGAGAGCGGAGGAGGTTTGCACTCACGCGTCCGATAAGGGCCTCGTGTGCAGAACTCAGAAGGAGCACACGGCTCAGTGACACAGGTACACGCTCAACATGGGTGAGGGCCTGGGTGGCTGCTTCTCCAAGAGGATGTGGAGGTGGATGAGAGCCCGAGAGATGGGAGCAAACCATGGCCATCCCAGAGGCCCGCCAGGGGCACCCCTGTGTGGGCAGAGGGCTGGCTGAGGTGGGCTTGGTCCCCAGGCGCTCAGTAGCTCTCAGGATCCTGCTCTGTGGTCGGGAGACCATGCTGTGTGAGCGTCCAGTGTGTGCGGACCCAGAACCGAAACGTGGCTGACACCTGTGGCGCAGGGGACAGACCCGGGCTCTGCAGCAATGGCCCAGGGTGATGCAGCATGAGGCCAGCTAGGAGGGGTGGGCAGCTGGGGGGCTTCCTGGAAGAAGGACTGCTGAGCTGAGACAGAAAACACCGGAATATGGGACAGCACGTGGGCAGGCAGAGGCCAGCAGGACGCAGGAATTGAGAGACGGAAGGCCGAGGGATAGGGGGCCGGAGGTCACCATGAAACCCACACCCGTGGGACAGGCCTAGTCTCACCCGGCCTGGGCTGTGTGTCCACTGGAGCTGCCTACCCTGGGAGGACCCCAGCTGTGCTGCAGCCCTTGGTGTCCTTGATGAATTCGCAGATCCCAGCCGCTTCCTCCTGCTCAGGGATCAGCTGTGGGGCTGGACAGGTCAGGTGCACAATAGCCAGGAAGAAGCCCGAGAAACTGTGGCCCGGCGGCCTGGTGCTATTGAGGTCTAATCACACTTATCAGCCTGTGAGGCAGGGGAGGGGTAGGGGTGCATGTATATCCAGAGTCCAAGTGCAGATCGCAGAAGCCACCGCTGAGGGCCTCAGCAGCACCCCACGCTGCACCCTGCCCTGGTGTGACAGATGTCAGAGAACCAGCCTGCTGGCGACCACTCAGGTTCTCCTCTGTCTTTGGGAAATGCAATCCCTGTGTCTCGGGGGCAGGGACATCGGATGGGATTCTCCTGGCTCTGTACCCCCTCCCCCTCCTGGGAGTGGGTGAGACCATCATAGCAGGAGTGATGCTGAGATGCGGGGTGCATGGGGTGCTGATGATGTCTCAGAATTCCTCAGCTGTAAGGTGGGTAGGGA